AGGAATTGCTTTTTTCATTTTCTTATTGCCTTTGCTGCTGTGCTCTGTCATTGAGCATCTATAAAATTAGACTGAAAGAAAAAAGCAAAATAAAACGAGGAAGGAGGAAAGCGAAATGATGAGGGGAAGAGGGGGGAGGGGAGGGTGAAAGATGGAGACAGGGCAAAACGGATGGAGGAACGGAGTGGGTTAAGTGAGGAAGAAAGAAGAAAAAAAAAACTGAGAGCAATTTAAAGCTTTTTAAACCAAATAAAAAAAAAATATGCCTTCATTATCCATCAATTTTTAAGCACAATTTGGAAAATGTAAATAAATTTTATTGAAAATTTTCATTTTTTTTTTTTTGTAGACAACGACAAGAAGATATTTGTGCAAAAAAAAAAGGGAAGAAAAACGACAAAGTAAAAAACCACAAAATAAATTTTTTCACCAGTTGCAACTCTTCTGCTCTTTTCATTTTGTCACTTTTGTCGCCTTCACCGTTACCTTATCATATCCGTGAATTCTGATGGTCTACTTTTTGTACAATGATACTGTTAACTGTTAAAGTAGTAAAAGTGCCACGACACTAATCTTAGAACAAAACCACTGTTTTACAGGCAACGCAGTAGAAAAGTTTCATAATATTTTGCTGAAAGTCACGGTTTTATATTAGTTTGAATAAAAGAAAAAGTAAAAAAGAGCACAAAGTTTACATGGTAAATTGCTAAAGTTGTCATAAAATTATCGGCATTACCGTTGGTATTATTAATGGCAATAATAACACTCAGTGGTCAAATATTTTTTATTCATTTAATGAGTCTTCCTTTTTTTTTTTCTTTTGTCTATAATAAATTTTTTTTTTAGATTTGGTAAGAACAATTATAAAATTTCTTTAAAACTAATTTATTTTCAAAAAAAAAACCAAATAATTCTTCAATTTCAACTGCAGAAAATACGAGGTGGTAATAGCGAAATTGTTTTTTAGTCAATTTTTGAGCAAGTACAAAAAATAAATGATTTTTGAGATTACCACAAATACTAAATCAAAATGTAACCTAAATTTATAACGTTATATGTAAATTTTTCTAGCTAAATTATTGGTTAAAGTTGCTGGGAAAAAACTTTTTTGGTTTAACTTTTTCAATAGGTTTTTTTTTTTCTGAAAATTGCTAATTTCAAGTGATCGCTATTATATTTCAAAAACAATAAGCAGTTAGCTGCTGTTCCATTTATTTAATAATAGACTAGGCTAAAACCTTTGATAGAAAATGCGAAATAACCAGTAATTTTTTCTTCTGCTGTAGCCAATACAAAAAAAAAAAGCTAATTTTTCTTTTTTTTCTTTTTGTTTTTTTAAGAAATAAAAAAGTATGAAGAAAGTAAAGAAGTTTATAAGGTTTAATTATTTTTTATCATGACTTACTTTATGCCATACAACCTTTTTTTTCTGCTAACGAAATAAAAAACACAATACCATTTTTTTTTGTCATATATTATCAGTAAGTGTTAATTGATGCAATTTTTCCGTCGGCATTATTTTATGAACTTAAGTGCTAGTGAAAAATAACTTATCTAATGGTCTTAGCCTATTTTCTATTTCTGTAACCTAAACGAATCAGATAAAAACTAACTCTTCACACAGTTCTATGATACACATTTATTTCATCTCTTCTTTCGTTTTTCTAATTTTTTTTTGTTTGATAGAACTTTTTGAAACTACTTGACAAGCGACTGACTGACTGAAAGATAGAGAGCGTAAGGTTCCTGAAATAAAATTTCATATAGAAGTTTTCCATTTATATTATTGGAACAGACACAATTGACAAAAGCTTAATAAATGAGGGACTGAAAATATATGGTAAAAATTCAAAGTTTCGATAAACTATTTTGCAATCTCATTCTGTAAGCTTTGACTTTTTTATTGATCTTTTTCGCTTCTCTTTCTTTTTGTAAGGTTTAGGACGAGTAGAGGGCAAGGGAAAAAGTCACGAAATGATTGTAAAATTTTATTTTTTTGCTAATACAAGAACTAATTTTTTTTTTTTTAGGTTCTTGACGTTAATTTTTTGGAAACAGTCTACCGGACGGCAGTGTACATCAAAAGACTATGTTTTTGAATACACAACCTGTGATGCCAACGGACAGCGTTGGAAAGTTGCTGTACCTTCTCGAGACAATTTTCGTTGTGAGGGTCTTCCACAGCCTATACGAGGAATTAATTGCTGTAAGAATTTTTTTTTGCTAGTAATTCTAATTTCAGATACAGATAACTACAAAACGGAAGTATGCTGAACTCAAAATTGAATATCTGAAACTACTATTTCAAGAAAAAACAAACTTAAAAATCGTTTTTTTTTTCACCTTTTTTTCCTCACTATCCCTTCAACTGTCAAAAATACAGCGCAAGTTTTTTTAGCATTTTCGTGTGATGCAGGCATGTATCTTGACATAGAAACACAAGAATGCCGTCAGTGTCAACCAGGTTTCTCAACATTGCTCGTGCCATTAGTTTAGCATTACCAGTGCAGCTAACAACAAAAATAGATTACTCAGTGATCGGTGAACAACGGTAATGCTCAAAAAATCAGACTTTTTTTAAAATTTTTAGGCAGTTACAGTCTTGGTGGCGGTGTTCGATTTGATGAATTTACTCATTTACCAGCGGGTTTTATTATCGAAAATGTTGACACCACATCAGATCAACTATTTGTAACTTCAAAAAAGGATAAAACGTGTCCTGTCGAGTTAGTTTAATCAAAATTTGCTATATCTTTGTTTCCTCACATATGAATTAAAATAAAAAAACAAAATACAAATGTTTATCTAAAAATTGCTCCTTGTTACTTGACAATTACCAATACACATTCTTATTGCAGAACGGGTTGGATAGTTAAAAATTCTGAGCTTCTGTACATTCGTTCTCCGTGTCTTTCAAAATTGATGTACAGTGTAAATTTGGTTAGACCTGGTTACGTTGAATATGTATATCACATGCCAAGAAACAGTCGTGGACTTGTAATTGATGTAACTGTCAAAAACGAACAGTGTCAAGACTATCGGTTAGTCTATATTTTCAGTTTTTTGCTGCTTTTTTTATTGTGAGATAAATTATGAGTTTTTAGAAATTGTTAATGTCTGCAAGTGTTTTTACGCCATAATTCCGATCTTCTTCCAGCGAACAATTACGGCACTTTTCCGGCAGCAAAGATCAAAATAACTACAACAGTAAGTCTTCAGAAGATGGTGAATGGCGACGAAGACGGGTTCCACTGCATCAGGGGGCTAACGTTGTCACTTGGACTGTTGCAAACAGCGGTGACTCGACATCGTTAGCAGACGTTATTACCGTAGCAAGAATAGACATCATTGGTAAAAAAGAAATCCAGACAGTTTATGTTCCTAACTTTTGTCTGGCTTTCCTTATCTATCTCCTATGCATATAATTTCGCTCTAATTCTGCAGTAATCTATGAGACATTTAATAGCCTCAAAATTGTCTTCTTTAATAACATTTTTCTACTAGAATTGACTTTTTCATTTATTTCGCACACAAAAATTGTTTTATTTATTAAGCAAAAAAAGAATTACGTTGAAAAATAGACCATACAGCAATTCTCCGACAAAATTACTCAAGATTTGTTAGGATCATAAATCAACGTTACAATACTCTGAGCACTTTATTTTGAAATAAAAGCGTAAACATCACTTTTTCTCACATTTTCCAACTTTTCCTTCCTCTTTTTTGAGGTATTGCTTTTACAAAGGAATGCACTCTATGCTCACCGGGTACCTACAGTCAAATTGGAGCAACGGAATGCAAATCTTGTGCCCCCGGATATTTCAGTACAAAAGGATCATCAGAATGCGGCCGATGTCCACAGTCACAATATTCAGGTAATAATGTTATCTTGTAATTTTTTCTTCTTCCCCCCTTTCCGTTAGAGCAACAGCGACGCTGTTAAAAAACCCGTGTCATTTCGACAACTTTGCGGTAATTCACTAAACTTTTTTTTTTTTCAAACCGCATCTATGGCCACATCTGACAGAATGAACTGACATTTTTAGGTCCACGCTCCGCAGCATGTATTGAGCGACCAGCATGTAAACGTGATGATTATTATATGGCAAGCGAACCATGTGTAAATGGCAAAACTAGGGTGGTGTACAAAAAGGTGCAACCAAATGTATGCAGGGAAGACTTAGTTGGAGCGTTCCAAGTATTCTTAGTTGTCATCCTTTTTCCTTTTTGTAGCTTTCTCAACAAAAAGATAAAACTTAAAAACGATTCTCTATTGTTCCTTAGTCAGTAATAGGCAGTACTGTTTTTTGATGTCACTAGAACGTCTGAAAATTACTCTCAAAATTTGCATTTAATTGGACATTTTCTGTTGTTTTCATTCGCTCAGCAAGATCCAACACCAATCTTTTTGTCATTAAAGGATGGTTGTCAGGTACAACAAGAAGAAATCTACTTGTTTTGGAATCGTTTAGGGGCGGCCGAAAACATGGCGCAACAAAATATGCAAATATATTAGCAAATCGTTAAAAAATTCTCATATTTCTGTTTAAGCAACCCAAACCCGGGCCATGGATTGAATGTCCAAAGTGCAATCCAGGAATGAGCATGGACGAAAACAGCCAATGTGTTTTTTGCCCTGCAAATCATTTTTCTGATGGAAATAGTAATCAGTATATCATAGTATTTTGAAATATTTTATTTAATTTTTTTTTTGCTTTTGCTGTTGTTTTGCCGTAGTTTGCAGAGCGTATGTAATGCTAGAATACTTATTGCAAATCTTTAATCAAAGAAATGTAAAATTGATGGCAAAGATATAATCAATCTAATTACCTTTAGAATGTCATAAGTGTCCAGTCGGAACAACACCGAATTACGGTTACCAATATGTGCTGTGGCACACCTTACCCGCAAATATGGAAACTCGTTGTGAGTACATCACTGAAGGTTGGCTAATCTAAAATCTTAAGACTGATATTACTAGTCTCTTTTATCAATCTCCAAGCAGCTGCTTAACCAATTACCCATGAAATCTGGTTTATAATTTTATCTAAATGGCCGGTTGTAGAATCGAATGACGCTTGCACTCTGAAAGAGTCATGGCTGCCCACTGGTAATGATCTTCGTACAGCTCCAACATACGAAAAAGGGATTGTACTGGAAGTTGCCATTGATGTCAAAGATGGCTTTTTCAACCCGCTGTTTGTTAAAGGAACTCAAGGATCTGCTCAAAGTCCAGTAGCCAGAATCACCGTAGAATTTGAGACAAGATGCTCAGATGAAAGCTGTGTATTTTATTTTGTTGAGGTGAGTTCTGTGCGCCTGCAGAAAAAAACGATTTTTTGGCAGATTTTAGAAGAGGATTTATGTCTTAGATTTAAATGGTTACTTTAAATTTGTTTTATATTGGAATAAAATTTTTTTATTGCAGGAAGCTTCTTTCCAAAAAGATTTTCAATTAATTGCTGACTATAATGGAACTCAGTCGCGAAAATCATACTCCTATTCCATCTTATCCACGAGACCTTCTCGATTTGTCTTTGCATTTATGCGGTATCGTTACGCCTATTATTTATTTTCCAGCTGTGAAAAATTGGTGTATTACCACTTTCACAAGAGTACAAAGATTTTTAGAATATATTGAAGCATTTAAATTTATAATCATCAAAGTATATTTTTTGCATGAAAACCAGCTATTAGACGTTCCAGTGTTTTGGCATTCTAGTCAGAAAACCGGTAAATAACAGTCTCTAATTATTTTAATGAATCAACTTAGAGTTGGATCGTCTTTTGCCATTTCTTGATCGTTGCTAAACTACATTAAGACTTCTCGGTCGACAATTTATACGAGAATATATAAGTGATAATGAGGTTTTTAGTTCCCGAAGTTCATTGCAAGACGATATTGTAACTGATCAAGCAATTATTTACTCTATCAACGTAACCAATGTTGCCAAGAACGGTGGTGGAGCATCAGCATGCTTGAAATGCCCAATGTCTAACGGGAAATGTGTAACCTGTCCTGCTGGAGAATATATTTCTGAAGATGTACTAATTTTAAAACATTTTCATCTTCTCCGTCTTTTTTTTTCGACATCAATCATTCTTTTATCATTCGTAAAAATTTATAGGTAAAATTATCTTTTGGTGAATTAAAAATATTCGTTTGAAAGGTTTTTAACAACACTGCAGCTATATTTTTTGCTATCATCTGTATCAGAACAGAATATTTAAAGTAACAAAGAGAAAATGATTATTCTAGCGTGGTGATTGTCAGAGATGCCCTCCAAATACAATTCTGAACGTTACCGGCGATCGTGTGGGTATTAAAAGTTGTGTGCCGTGTGGACCAAATTTAAAATCAGCTGATGGTGTAAGCTGCACGATAAGTGGAGTTCTCGAACTTTGCAGCGAAGACAATACTACCAGACGATATAATTTAACAAAGCTAGCTAATCGGTAAAAAAAATGTTGTGTTAGTTGCCAATTATAAGCCTCTAATAGCTGTTTCAAAAAAAACCTACATTATAGGACTTTCAATGCTACCGGAGTCAAAGTTTTTGCTCGTGAAGGCTCATCGTATTTTCATTCGTTCAACTTTACACTTTTTCCAACTCCGAATACACGCTGTGCAGAATCTGTAGAAGTGTACGATTTCAAGCAGAATATGATACCGTTTAGTGAGGTTTGTTTTTTTCCGAAAGTTTAGTGTTTACTACCAAAAAAAAAAAAAAAACTTGTTG